AGTGGAGCGTCTATCCCGTATGTCCCCACAGGCCCTCCCCTGGCGTCTTAGCGGCTTCCGAGGAGTCTTCAGGGTCACACCGGTCACAGCTGACACTGCTGGAAGCTGCGCTGTGAGTGTGCCACTCCGGCTCATTCGTGAAAGAGCTTCTGCAGGTCACTACAAGGGACCAGAGAAACTTAAAATACTTCTAACCCCACAGAACCACGGACCTGCTTGACTCCGTAAAGACCACTGGAAACGCCGAATGTCCTTGACAGTGAAACTGGCGTCTCTGCAGTAAATGCCTTGGAGGATAGGAAGATAAAGTATGTAGTAAAGAGGCTTGCTAGCCAGTACTGCAAGACAAACATTACACAGATAAAACCACCACGGGGCCAAGAATAATAGTGATAATCAAGTATTCAATTGTTTCCTGTGCTATGGGAGGGTATATATAGCCCTCGAGGAAATACGTGGATCCATATGAGACATTCCCACATATCAAAGTTTCAGAGGTTAACATCACTTCTAAAGAGTTTGTTTATATCTGAGAATTTATTTAGCTCCAGATGAACTAGTTTTATTATCAGCTGAGGAACTGTCAGAAGCAAATAGTCCTGGAAGTGAGCCCAATAAAAAGCGTGCACTGGTAAATCTTCCTGGCCCTTGGCCCAGCTGTTCTACCTGTATCATACGTGATCGACGGGTCTCAAAAGACCGTGCTCCAAATCACTCGCTTCTGCACCAAAACAGGATAACCATATATTCCTTGGATACTAAGGCAAGAAAAGCAACCTCGTATCCAAAAAAATCAGGTTGCTTATTTTGCCCCAATATCAGACATTCTACAAATAATACATATTTTGAAGACATTTCTCTCTTCATGAATGCTGTGTTCATTTGCACAATACGCTTAGCGACTGCGCCTCAACTACAATAGGCTACTGGCATTCTCCTTTTGAGGATTGAGCTCCATTCCTGAGGCCAGCTCCTTAAATGGACTGGTCGCTAAGTAAGGAATTGTATGTCGGATGCACATTACAATATTCAGAACAAAGAAATGGTCAAAGGAAACTCCAACTTGATGATTTTCCTTTATTCGCATAACTTTTTTTTTCTTTTTTTTTTGGTATTTTTGAGACAAGGTCTGGCTATGCAATTCAGGCTGGCCTCGAACTCGCAACGATCCTCCTGCCTCAGCCTCCCAAGTGCTGGGATTACAGGCCTGCGCCACCACGCCCAGCTCGACTAGCATAACTCTTAATGCAGTCCTGTAATGTATAACACCACATAAAACCACAGTACTATGTAGTATAATCAGCAAAGCACAGCGCTGTATAAACAAGCTGTACAAACAAAGGCAAGGAGGCCCTATCAACAAGATATACAGAACTGTACAAAAAAAAGAAGGGCTGTAAGTCGCAACAGCCACATCTCAGTCAGAAACCCAACCAGCCGTGAAGAGGGCGGGTCGCTAAGCGAGGAACATCTGCAACGGCAAGGGAAATCTAGAAATTTAGACAGAACACTGAAACTCAGCTAAGAAGGGCCATTTTCCCAGAAGTTATAATTCTATCTAACTGCTGCCAGAGCCAAGAGTGCAAGCTTTAGAGAGCGCCCAGCACGCTCCAGGCGCTGGGCAACGTCACTGGGGTCAAACTCAGGAAAGCAGAGATGTTCTATTTTAGCAGGGTAAGCTGAGGACTAAACCCTCCTCCCGCTTCCAGGCTTCCCATCCGCCCCCGCCCACCCGCAACCCCCGGATTCTCCCTGACTTCCGGCAGGCCCCCGCGAGACCCGAGAGCCCGCGAATCTCCCGCCCCACGCCGGCGGGCCACCCCGGCGCGATCCTCGGAGCCGAACGAACCCACACTCAGCAGCCTTTCCCTCGCCAAAAGCGCACATCGCCGTCCCAGACGCTCACCACGAAAACAGCACTCTCTGAAACAGGGTCAGGAAAGACAGCCCGGCCAAAGAAATTTCTTGTCTTAGGGGAACAGGGGCGCCGCCATGTTGCTGTACGGAAAGCAATTTCCAGGGGGATTTGGAACGCTCAGGCCATTCCTCGGCGACGTAGAGCTCTCTGGACTTCAGGGCCAACTTTAAGGGCGAGGCAAACCACGCAAAGGACGCTCGCACTGTCCAAGAGATGGCAGTGTGAGCGCCCGCTAAGCGACGGGGAGCGACTAGCGCGCGAACTTTCCGCGACGAGGAGCGGCGCTTAAGAAGTACGTTGCGTGACGTCATTTCGTCATGACGTACGCGCCAGCGGAGATTTTTTTTTAAAATTCAAACCTCCTTGGCGGGCGGAGACAGTGGCTCTTGTTTTGGCGGCTGCTGTTGTCTCTGGAGGTCCGTTTCCCACCGTATAGAAATTCGGCCTCTGGGTCTCGTCAGGAAACTGGAGGAAGGTGAGCAGTGACGCTGGGTTAAGTTTGTCCGTCCAGAACTGCCCCGGAGGAGAGAGTGACGGTGCGGGGCCGCGTGTTAGTGTTTGCGGTCGTCGGAGGCCTGGCGCCCCATCTGCGAGGGGCGGGCCTCCGAGTCCAGCGATTTCTCGAGGGAGAAGGGCGGCCAGGCGCACTAACGAGAGGATGGAGGCGGGAGCGGGAGCCGGGGAGGGGGGGGAGGGGAGGGGAAGGGCGGGCCGGGAGAGGACCTGGGTGAGGCGCTGGTGCTGGTGCGGCGCGGCTCCCCGGTGGCCGCGTCTGGAGTACCCGAGGTCTTCATCTGAATCTTGGCAGCGCCTTGCAAGCGGGGGCCGGGAGTGCACGCAGGGAGGGTGGAGGAGTTGGGAAGAAACCGGAGCCAAAACCAAGGACGTGCGATCAGTGTGCAAGACTAAGGAGCGCCAGAGCAGAAAGAGGGTGATCGCGGGTGTCCACTTTCCTGCAAGCCAGGGACGAGCTGAGAAGGCTGCGAGCTCAGCGACTGATGCCACGGAGAGGAGAAAGCGTTGACAGCCAGGGCTCCTGCGGGTCTGAGTCCGGCCCAGCTGTCTGGGCTTCCGGGTTCGTTCGCCTACCTGCAACCAAGAATACTAAAAAAAAAAAACCCTAAAATAGGCAAATGAGTTTGTTTACAGTTTGACCAAATTGGAGGGCAGCTATTTCAGATACACAGAAGCACACCAGTTCATAGAAGGGGTACAACCAGAGTCCGGAAATGACTATATGCAGATTTAGTCAAACTTTGGACCAGAGGGCTGCAAGGGTTGCATTCACCAAGTTGCCAGGAGGGCAACTTGAGGGGAGTGGCAGTTAGCGAAGCAGCCTTTCTCTAAAAGAAAAAAAGAGTCCTAATTTTTAAAAATCGATCACAGCTGAGCATGGTAGCACATGCTTGTAATCTCAGCATTCAGGAGGCTGAGGCAGGAGGATCTCTGTGAGTTCGAGGCCAGCCTGAACTGCATAGGGAGATCCTGTCTCAAAAAGACAAAATAAAAGTTGACCTCAGCCTCTTGATTACAAGATCGAAAGATGTGTCGATCCTGAATATATTATGGGACAACCTTTTAAGTAGATGTGAAAGGAAAGAGAGGTTAATTTGTTTTGAACAGGAGTCAGTCTAGCTCATTTTGTACCCTGGAAGATTTACTGGAAACAGAAGAACAATAATTGATGTAAACCAAGAAATAATGAGATGAGCATAAAGCAGGAGAGACTGGCTTTGGGAAAAGAAAACAGAATAACTGCATTCTTTAAAGGCAAAGAAAGAGCCATGTGGAGGGGAGTAAGGTTGCTTGAGGTAGTTCTTTTGAGACATCCTCTGCCTTCCCATTGAAATGGGCACAGCCAACAGCACTAATGTGGTCAGGGTTCATATTCAGGGATTTTGCCACCACAGATTGCCTTGTGAAGGCACGAATCACACCTCATTCATCTTTCTATCTCCTGCATTGCCTCATACACTCCCTTGAATACAGTGAGGAGTTAATACATGTTTTTGTGTGTTGAACACTTTAAAATGAAGTTAAATAGGTATTCTTTCCAAATGAGGACTTCAGAATACATGAAGAAGTAAGAATAATCCAGGGAAAGCCCGGTGTGGTAGTGCAGTCCCAGCACTGGGGAGACTAAGCTGGGAGAGTTCCTGGCCAGCCCGGATACATAGTAAGTTCAAAGCCAGCCTGGACTACATAGCAAGAACCTGTCTCACAAAAGCCCTGGGGCAAGATGATCAGGAAGAAATACTACAACTTCACTGCCTTTCTATTGAGGATAAAGATAAGAGCTGTTGCTTAATGTGCCATCTATATCTGGAATGTTTTTCTAATACTGAATTCATGAATGCAGGTCGTAAGCATGAAGCGCAGCTCAGTGTCCACCGGTGGTGCTGGCCGCCTCTCTATGCAGGAGTTAAGATCCCTGGACATGAATAAACCGGGCCTTTATACCCCTCAAATGTAAGTGTTCTCTCCGAATGCCACACTGTCTTGGGCAAAGAAGTTGTAAAGATGGTAAATAGGTGCAGAGTGAGCGATGTCCTGGGTGAATCCTGCCTGTTCCCAGGGTACCTAACTTAGAACCAGTGAAGTTTCAAAAGCAGGCATGATACAAGGTGTTGTGTGTCATTACATTTGTTTCTTAAAAGTTCCAGTGCCGGGTGCTTTACCCATCACCTCCTAAAAGGACAACTGATTCCCCTTCAGAGCTCTTTCCCTCTCATTTTCCTCCTTTATTATTGAGCTACCTGTTTAAGCAGATTCTATAACTCACTTTACTGAGGTGTTTCCCACTACCAAAGTTCTTAATTAAGTCAGAGCAATATTTGCTCCAATGATAAGCTGCAATATGGTGGCAGCCTACAGAACACCTATTAAGGTTTGAGTCTAGATGTTCCCCCAAAGCCTCGTGCACATAGGTGGGGCTTTTTCAGAGGTGGCTGGATCAGTATGACTGATTCATGGTGCAATGCTAGGATTAAGGGTGCTAGGATTAAGGGTGGCTGGTTACTAAATCCACCCACTGATTGGTTTGGCACTGCCCTAATCCTGGTAGCCTGGATATAATTCAAGGGACAGAAAGAGGCTTGTATTTCTCCCTTCCTTGCTTTGCTACCGTCTGCCCACTGTGAACTGTTTCTCCTTTGGGATGCCTCTCTGCCATGCCACCCTGCCTTGGAGCCAGCCGATGAGGGACTGAAACTTCCACACACTGAGCTAAATAAACTTGTCTTCCTTTAATTTTGGGTGTCAGATCATCTCAGCAATGAGAAAAGTAACAGAGACACCACTTCTCGTAACTTTTTCAAGATTTGCCGGAAATAAGTGTTCTATGAAACTTGCTATTGTAAACTGGAGAGTTCCCTTTGAGTGATGTACTTCCAGCGACAGGGCCATTTCAAGCCGCTGTAATCCTTCTCTGACACCTAGGCACACATTACTTGCTAGCCGTTCTTAAATTATTTCAGTTTACACAGTATGAGCCTCTGCCACTTTTAGAAATTTGAACTACTTATCTTTTTCCTTATATAGTTCAAACACTTTTGTATATGACTTACACCAAAACGTATTAGGTCTTGAACTGTACTAGAAAAAGGTTGCCACTGTCAATGTTTATTGTCCATAATTTAAACAATAAATGCAGATACATTCTGAGAGTTTAAAAGGAAAGGTTTCAAACATAGCTATTACTCTGTGATTGAACATACTTATTTTTCCTTTTTTCCTTAAAGTTGTTATCTATAAATGTTCACATTTTAACATAAAGTCATAGTGTAGAGCAGATTTTGTTCTGCTTCTTAACATTGTAACATAACTGATAATGCCTCTTAACCCATCTCAGTCATAACAGCCAAGATTGCTGCTAAAAATGTTAGTGATTTTGAATAATGTTTACATGTAATGAGGAAGTATTGATTCCAGTATATTTCCAGAAGTTTTCTGAACTGATATTTTTATATTTATTTTAACGAGTTATTTTTCTACTTTCTTTAAAGGAAAGAGAAACCAAGTTTCAGCAAGTTGAGTATAAGCAAATCTACATCTGAAAGAAAAGTCTCTGTATTCGGTAAAAGGTAATGATGCTCTTTATTCGTTCCATTGAAGGAATTCTTGTAGCTTTCCATTGATATACTTAGAAAACAGAACTCAGATGACGTGGTCTCTGGATAGAAAATTTCTTACCTAGTTTTCGTGTTTGAAATGGTTAAAATGTTAGGTTATATCTGCTGTAGATGGTACTAATACATACATTAACACATTCAGACCACTATTTCTTACAAGTGAATACTTGATTTAAAATCCTAGTTTTCAGACACTATGAAATGATAAACTGTAAAATAAGCCAGAATTTTCCTCTAGTCTCAAATTTGAGTCTTACGCTCTTAATGATTCATGAGGACTCCAAAGAACTTTTGTTTAGTGGGCTGTAATAACCATATTAGAAATTCACCTGAGAGAATTTGTAAATATATATTAATTCAATTTAACATACCAATAAGTTCATTGCATGGTAACCAAAACTCACATGTTTGAGGAGGAGTTTTGTATGTTTTTTATTTTTTTGAGACAGAGTCTGACTCTGTAGTTCAGCCTGTTCTTGAACTGACTGTGTAGCCCAGGTGGGCCTCAAACTAGAGACCCTCCTCCTTCAGCCTCTAAGTGCTAGGATTACGGGAGTGTGCCACCATGTCTGGCTATCTGTTTTTCATTAAAAACAATAATAAATTTCATAAGCAAAACCATTTCCATGAAAAGAGTGACAGTTTTATTTAGAGAAGGTAAAGCTAATATTTACAAAAACCTAACATTTGTCAAGCACTCCCATAGGCCAGCCATTATTTTAAGCATGTTGTCTATGTGAAGCCCTGATCAGTTCTCAGAGGCAGTCTTCCCACAAGCGGCAGTGGTGCGGGAAGTAGTTGGAAGTCAGAGCAATCGGGAAGGAGCAGCGGCAGTGAAAGGGCATGGGCTTGGAATAAGCTCATGGAGGGCCCGGTGCAGAGCAGCGGGCTGTGCCCGTTCTCAGGGAGTGGTGTGTGTGCTGGCCATGCAAAGCACCCCAAGTGTATTTTCATTCCCACCTCATTTACCTACATTATCTACCAGCTGCTGTGACCTTGTACCGTTCTCTGTGCTTTAAATCATAGCATTCTGTTGAATTAGAAAAGAATTTAAAATTTAAACCTGAATGTTTGGTGCTGAAGTTAAAGTTTAAAATGACCTTGAAATAATTTAGACTTGACCACAGACGGAAACAATTTTGACTGATGTTTTTAAAAATATGTTTCCAGAACCAGCGGACATGGATCCCGGAATAGTCAACTTGGTATATTTTCCAGTTCTGAAAAAATCAAGGACCCGCGACCACTTAATGACAAAGCGTTCATTCAGCAGTGTATTCGACAACTCTGCGAGGTAACTTACAATTCAAGTAGTCGAAGTTGTGAATGTTCTCTTAGGTATTTTCCATGATTCTTCTATTACAAAATGTTTGACGGTTCATGAAAATTATTGCAGTTTCTTACAGAAAATGGTTATGCATACAGTGTATCCATGAAATCTCTCCAAGCTCCATCTGTGAAAGACTTCCTAAAGATCTTCACTTTTCTTTATGGTTTCCTGTGCCCTTCCTATGAGCTTCCCGACACAAAATTTGAAGAAGAGGTGCCAAGAATTTTTAAAGACCTTGGGTATGTGTGGTATATTTCTCTTTAGTCTGGAGAGATTACTAGAACCCAGAGAACAACCAAACTCAGATTTATAAAGAACGTGAGTTAGAAAAATAACACATTTTAAGATGAACACTGTGAGCAATATATGTAGGATAAATTAAGAAAAAAACGGCAGTAGCTGTATTTGCTTGTTGCCATCACAAAATACCTGACACCAGGTAATTTATAAAGAATAGGGATTTATTTAGCTTGTGGCTCTGTGAGTCTGGGAAGCCCGAAAGCAGGACACCAACCTCAACCCAGCATCTAGTGAGGGCCTTCTCACGGCTTGTGACAGGGCAGGAGTTGTCACATGGCGAGACGGAACAAGTGTGTCCAAGGGAGCAGACTTTTATCACAAGGCGCCTCCCCCTGTAACCCACGAATCCAGGACCGGATTGGGCCTTATCATCACATGTGACTTCGGGGGTGATGTTTCCAATGCATGTATTCTGAGGGACCGACATCCAAACCACAGGAGCTAGGTTATAACAGAACTGTAGATGACAGCATCAGCCCTGGCCTCCTGGAAGGACGGGGAGGAGGAGGCACAGGCAGCCTCCGTGCAGCAAAAAGACCAGAACTGCACCCTGGTGAAAATGCAGTGAGAGGAAGTTGGAAAGACTATAGATTAAGCATAGAATGGGACAAGGACTTGGACGTGCATGGCTCAAGCATGTAGAGTATAGGGGGGACACTGAATTTAGAGGAACAAAAGGTCTTTGGCGGGCATCCAGCATATTGACTGTAGATGAAATTCTGCATCTTTCGGGGTTACAGGTGCAACATGATCTGCAGAGAAGAAACACAAAAGTAGCTGAAGTCATTGGGGAATAAGACCAGTGCTCAATCACAGCAGATACCTTTTAAACAAATCAAGATTCTGGGGCATATGTGTAGTTTTTTAAAGTATAACGTCTTGCTTAATTTAGCCATGATTTTTACTGTATCAACAGAAGCTAACTTCTTTTGTCATTTTTTGCAGATACCCTTTTGCTCTGTCCAAAAGCTCCATGTACACGGTGGGAGCCCCCCACACCTGGCCGCACATCGTGGCAGCCTTGGTTTGGCTAATAGACTGCATCAAGGTATTTGATTTGACGTTTGTATGTACACATAGGACACTTGAGAGGCTGAGGTGGGAGGATCACCACAAGTTCAAGGCCAGCCTGGGCCACATAATGAGTTCATTAGTGAGCCTGACTTACAGACCAAGACTGTCTCAAAAAAGCAAAACCAACAACAACGAAAGAAAATACATACTGGAAAGTTCGTTGTGTTTTCAGAAAGATATTCCCGTTTCTTTCCCAGTCCTGCCTCTGCCACTTAGCTCAAAGTCTGCTTCAGTGTTCATTTTTCAAAGCACATTTGATTTCAAGTTCTTGAAACTGTTAACATGTGACTGAAGAAGAGGTGAGGGGAAGGGAATTTCACTTGTGAGAGATTGTTTTCATTACTTTGAAGCTTAAATAAAAATCAGGACCCGGGGATTTAGCTCAGCAGCATAAGCACCTGCTTGGCAAGCACAAGGTCCTGAGTTTGATTTCCGGTACAAAAAAAAAAAAATCAGTAGGATGTTGCTTTTTTACAAATTCTCCCTCATGAAATTCATTTTTTTGCTTTTTATATGAAAATGTACATTCATTACATTCATTTTCCAAAAGTTTTAGAAAATAAGCATTGAGGTAGCCATCATCTCCTAACCTAGAGACAACAACCAAAAGTGTTTCTGTGGGTGTAGCTTCTGGGTTGTTCGTTTTTGCAGCACAGGGAACTGAAGCCCCAGGCTTCATGCAGGCGGGACAAACTCTACCACTGAGCTCCCCGGCCAGGCCACATGCTTTATTAGTCCACAAAGGGTGCACGGTCCTATACCACACAGTGATGTGTCAGTCAGTGACGGGCAGCACATGGACAGGGGTCACAGGAAACTGTCATGACCTGACAGACTCCTCACGCCTAGTGCCTTTGAGCCGTTGGTAAGCTGCACTCGTGTGTCTGGTGATGCTAGTGTGAGTAAACCTTCCGTGCTACAGGTCACATGAAGGCACAGTACCGTGGCTATGGTTATGGCCGGTACCTAGCACTCAACAACAGCGAGAAGCAACTCTGTTGCTGGTTTGTATATTTACCAGACTAGACTTTTGTTATTTTAGAGTGGATTCCTGCTTTAAAAAAAATGCAAGTCCAGCCTGAACTGCATAGCAAGACCCTGGCTCAAAAAGACAAAAAAAAAAAAGGCGGGGGGAGTCGTACAGAATAGTCACGCGTACCACATCCTTCAGCTGGATCACACGGCCATGTCAGGCGACTGCTGTATACCAGGCAGGTTTAAGAGCATTGTGGGGGTCACACTGCGACAGACTCACTGATGCACTTCTCAGAATGTCCCCATCATGAAGTGACATGTGACTGTTTTTTAGGCTTTTGATGCATATTGACAGTTTCCCTCCAGGAATTGAGGAACCCATTAAAACTCCTCAAGAATGTGTGAGCTTACCCATTTTCCCACACTACCAGCAATATTGCTTTAAAATTACCGATTTGGGGATGAAAAATAGCTTGTTTTCATATTATATAAATTATTGAAACAGTTTATACTTCTGTGTGCTTTATTATTTGTGTCTTTCTTAGCTTCCCTGTACATGTCTTTTATATTGAACTACTTACGTGCAAACTTTATCAGCAGTTTGGTTTGGGATGTTTTGGTACTTGCTTTGGCTGGGCCCGACTCGAACTCCTGGGCCCAAATGAGCCGCCCGCTTCTCACAAGCAGCCAGGACTATAGGCGCTCACCACCCCACCCTGCTTTTCCTTGAGTGCCATTTTCTAGGAATTCCCCAAGCCCCCATCTCTGCTGTAGACTGACCCCAGGCCTTCAAGCTTGGTATTTTTAATAGTTGAAAAACCAAAGGAAGATGGCTGATTTGCTTCATATTTGCATTTTTCTGCTTTTAAAAGTTGAACATTTTTCACATTACAATAACTGCCTCTTCACATCTACCTTTTTTCATATTGATTTTTTAAGATGGCATGTTGTTTTCTGGGGGGTTGTTTCATTTCCTGTCGTTTTGTTTGCAGTGCTGGGAGTTGGTGCTAGGGCCCTGCCCTTGCTGGGCAGGCTCTGTCACTCAGCCCCAGCCACAGCCCAAGGGTGGCACGTTGTAAGTCAAAAGTGATTGAGTAGAGAAGTTAGCCTCAGCCGGACTGGTGCATATTCCTCTCCCTTTTATCCTTTTGATTTTATGTGCTGTATTTGGCTGTTCCAAATTATAGATTTTTACCTATTCTAAAGCAATTTTATCCTTTTTTATCCTCTGAGTTTCCTGTCCTACTTAGCTCTAGAATCCTTAAAAACCAATATACTCCTTGTGACATTCTCTTGGCCATTAAAAAAAAAAAAACCTTCAACTAAATGTAAGCAGGCAGTAGATGGTCGGATTTTGACCTAGAAACGGTGCTGGTACTTTTTAGCCCTTCCAGTTGTCAAGCTAGGAGCAGAAGCCCAATACCATGACCTATTAATGAAATGCAAACTTTATCAGACTTCACATACAACCTGCCTTTCCCAGTGAGGCTCCTGGCCAGGGTGACTATCACCTGTGTGCACCCACCATTGGGTCACCCTGTTGCCAGCAGCACACCTCACCCGTATTTGCCTCAGCAGGTTAGGATTTTGTAACAGTGCTTTGGGAGCTTGTGCAATAGCTGCTGTGGCTTTGGTCGGTCAGGGAGTGACCTCTTGTGATGCCTCCAAGGTCATTATTGAGGCTGAAATCCCCTCCCTTGCTTCGCAGTGGAACTATGTAGCACTGCAATGTAAGAATCTGTGGGAGGCTATAGGTTTCTTGTTCCAATTATCTTTCCCACTTAAGCTTAGAAATTTCAGCCACACTGAGAAAGACCTCCCTTCTGGGTTTTCTTAGGCCTTCCATTTTTCCCCTAGTTTTTTCTTTGTTTGTTTGTTTTGTTTTTCCCCTGGGACAGAGGCTGTGTTGCCCAGGCTGGTCTTAAACTCTTGGACTCCAGTGATACTCCCACCTCAGCCTTCAGAGCCTCCATTGACCATGTGTTGTTTAATTCTTAACATACAGTTTAGTTTAGTTTAGTTTAGTTTGAGAGAAAAAGCATTATTTCCTTAAATGCTCACTCATCTATCACAGCACCACCCAACTGACCCATCCTTTCCCACGTTTTGAGCTATTCGCATTTCGCACTTGGAGCTGCTGCTCTGCTCTTTGTCCTGCCCCTGTACTGACCGTTCAAGTTCCTGTCATTTTCTGATATAATTTGTGTTATAGGAAAATTCTCACAGCTCTTTGCAACTTCCCAACTATTCTCGTGTCCTCACTCTTTAAATTATTTTTTTTTAATTCCCAAAAATATCTTAGGATTTTTTTTATTACTATCACATTGAATTTATAGATATATTGGGAAATCCCATTTTGATAATTAGTCTTGTCATTTGGGAAAGTTGTTTTTTTTTTCTTCCGGTACCAGGAATCGAACTCACAACCTTGTGCTTGCCAGGCAGGCGCTGTGCTAAATCCCAGCCCCTGCTCCCGTGTTTTGTTACTGAGATGGACAGACTTACTTTTTGATTGTATTTCTACAGTTGCTATTGCTGAAGTTTTTGTATTTACTACATGGTATTGAATTGCCTCGTTACTACTATTTTCAGTTGATTTCTATTGTAACCATGCTCTTCAAATGAAATATTTTGTTTTATTATTTACTTAGGGTATATTCAGGTAGAGGGAAATGTTTTTCATGTTGAAGTTCACCTTTTATCACTAGTTGGTGGGGATATAGCTCAGCAGCACAGTGCCTGCCTGGCAAGCGTGAGGTCGTGAGTGCGATTCCTAGTATCCAAAAAAAAAAAAAAAAGATCAGTAGTTGTTGAAGGTTGTCTGTGCTTTTACAGGATCTAGTAAGTTTTCTCTCTCTGTCTATTGATAGAATACATTTTGGTCACATCCTGTTCGCTCACTGTGGATTATTCTCTTGTTATACGACTGACTCATTTGTTAATACTTTGTAAATGAAGCTTGATTCCTCTCTCATTTTCACTGCCCCCTCGCCCGGAGCTTGCTGCGTGGCCCGTCTGAGTGGCAGTGGTTTAGCCAGCATCCCACCGTCCTGCCCCTGAGGATCCCAAATGGGCAAGCTGCATGTGCTCCAGGGTCCGTGGTGGCACAGTCAGGGCCTGACTTGCCTCAGAGCCCTGGGTGCTTTTCCTTCTCTCCAGTTTCACGGTGTAGAAAGCAGGGCTAGTACTATGATGGAAAATGCGAGAGTAGCTGAGAACAGGTGACCTGAATCTCAGCGTCCTTTTACCTCTGTACAATTTCAAGTTGCGACTGTTGCAGCCAAATCTCAGCTCAGACCTTCTCAATTCTTGCCGTAGAGGCTCTCCGTAGCCCCTGGGGATCTGGTTGTCCTGGGTGAGACCTTCCTTGAACCTTGCAAAGTAGCAAGAGTTTTCACAGGACCCTTGAGAGGGCAGCAGAAACTGTCTTTCCCCAATGACAAGCTACAGACTGTGTCCTTCATCTTGCCCTGTCCTGACCTGCAGACTTCACTGTGTCTGGCTGTCACCTGAGACCCTGTTGAAGAAGACAGGCAAAGATGAGGTGATAGTGAGTTCCCCTTCACCCCCCCTGGGTACACAGAAGGACCTAAGGTGCCTTTAGAGCAGCGAATAGCAGGGAGGGCACGTGACTGCAGGCTAAAACCCTAGGAAGTACCCCATGGTAAGAAGATCTCATTGTTTTCACAGAAACCACTTTTATCACTTTCAGATTTGAACAATAGTATTTCTGAAATTTTGTAAAGTTCCATCTAAAGTTCCTAGTTATGTACTGAAGGATACCACTGATAACATTTGGACACCAAAACTGACTTCATATAAGAGAAATAACTATTATTGGTTCGCCTGTTACCTGGCAGCTCTCATTTGGAGTCTTAGAGCTGCATAAGAATTTGTATGTTCTCACTGGGTTAATAGCATAAAGATCAGTCTGTTTTTGTCTGTGGACAAGAACTAAATGTGAAACCCATGCTTTCTAAATTCTAAGGGATTTAGTTACTAAATAACAAGGATTTTAAGGCTCAATATAATCTCTTAAAAAGTTTTAGCCAGGCGTGGTGGTGCACGCTTGTAATCCCAGCACTGGGGAGACTGAGGCAGGAGGATTGTTGCAAGATCAAGACCAGCCTGGGCTACAAAGTGAGCTCAAGGCCAGCCTGGACTGCATAGTGAGACTCTGTCTCAAAAAGACAAAAAAAAAAAAAAAAAAGTTTTAGTTATACAATTAAATGCTTCTAAATATGACACTAAAAAACGAATTTGACAGAACATGAGAGCTATGTTTTTCATGCAGTACTAACCTACACAGTATGTTTGTGTAATAGATACATAATGCCATGAAAGAAAGCTCACCTTTATTTGATGATGGACAACCTTGGGTAGAAGAAACTGAAGATGGAATTATGCATAATAAGGTACCACATAATGCCATCAATTATAATGAGCTGTTTTATATTAACCAAATTTGTCACTATTGAAATTACATTACAGAATTTATCTTTTGCTGTTTAAAAAAGACTTCGAAGATTGATATTTTAAAAATACTATTCAGTGTGTCTATAGTTACATTACAATTTCCTAAAATAAAGTAAGCAAAGAAACTTGAAAATGTTAAGTAAAACTGCAGGAGGCTAGGCATGGTGCTACTTGCCTGTAATCCCAGCTACTCAGGAGGCTGAGGCAAGAGGGTCACAAATTCAAGGCCAGCCTAGCCAATTTAACAAGACCTAGTCTCAAAAGGTTTTTAAAAGTATGAGGATGTAACTCAGTGCTCCCTGAGTTCATTTCCTCTATACTGAAAAAACAGTATGCAAGCATATTGGAATTAAATCATAATATGGTATACATTACATAGTGTTTCTTTTCCTCTGTCTTATAGATCAAAGATATGAGGTAAGTTACTCCAGTGTAGTTCTGTCAGGGCACAGCATGATGGATTGAGTCTTAAAATATCACATATAGACTCCTTGTTTATTCATTTTATTGTGGATTTTTTTAATTAGGTATATCATCACTTACCTCAGAGATACCTCTTTTCAAAGTGATTGAGGTGAAAGTAATGAGTAGTCCACACTGGTTCTCTGTGTGTTTTCAGAACACTACAGGCACTTTATATAGAACCTAAGCCATGCAATTAGCCCCACCCCATTCTGTCAGCATGCAAATCTGTATATCCAAATGCAATAAACACCAACTCTGAGGATGCGTTTTAAATGTTGCATACACAAGTGATCCTTTACTGCACAGGCCTCTCAGAAGACAAACTATCTTGTTTCTGATTTTAACCTTCACTCTTTGGAGCCTTTACCACAAAAGGAAAGTAGGAATAATTCTAGTCTTCTCTTTCATTGCTGTCTGAGAAGTAGTTCAAAGGTATGTCAACGGACTGGCCTGGCATCATGGCCTTTTTTTTTAACAAGAATAAACGTGCCCCTTTACTGTTTCAGCAGTGATCTTAGCTGGAGAGGCATCTGGAAAGCCTTTGATTTTCTACCTTCTAAACAATTCTCCCCCATTGCAATATATATGAAATACATTTAATTTTACCTCTGTTTGCACCCAAATACAATTATAAATCACTTATAACTATCAAATTTCTTAATATTCATCTAAACATTAAGCCAATAAGAATTATTTGTGCCATCTGAGCTATTATTTCAAATGACAATTTATAGAGAAGCACTTTGAAAACCAAAGTGCTGTTTTTAATTGTAGAGACTTATCAGATTATCCAGCTTCACATGATTCTTTTTTCTTTTTCCACCAGATTCTGATCCTTAGCTTTGTGGGTCTATAAACTCAATTCTGTTTCAATCTATAAAGATAAAAATTAAGCAAACTGATTTACAAATTCACTCTTAACAAATTCACAAGAGACCGACCTGAAACGGAATAAAAGCGTATTACCATCAGTGATACACCTGTCCAATTCCAGGAATACTCACACTGCTTATTTAGGGTACCCAGTCCATATCAACCAAGTAATGAGGAGGTTGCCTGGTACACAAAGAAAGAACACAAAGGGAATTGTTTTGTCTTGGGAGTTACTTACTTCAATCCAAGGTATGGAAAATTCTGGTCTGCCATCCTTACCTAATAAAATATGCATCCTCAGTGACCAAAATACCTTCTGACTACAAAATGTAGTGTTAATTTCTCTAAGCAAATATTAAAAACTCTAAAGCCACGCATGGTAGCACACACCAGTAATCCTAGCTAGTCAGGAGACCAAGACAGGAAAGTTCAACGCCAGCATAGGGAACAGAGCAAGAATCTGTTTCCAAAGGGCGTGCGCGCGCACGTGTGCACACACACACAAATATTCTACTCTTTAGATCTCTACTTACCATACCATTCTTATCCTGAAGTTATAACGTGATTATCAGCCTCTATTAATTATAGTCTGGTTTTCACAATTAGGCCCAGTCTGTTGAACTGAACTTAGATGATCAGTAATTCAGTTCTTACAAGGTGCGTGATTTCTAAAGACGATTTAAGTTTGTGTGTTTTATCTTGAATTGCGCTTATGTTTCTTGTTTTGTTGACCTGAAAATTCTAAAGATACAGTTTACTATTTTTAAATATCTTTATCCCAATTTAATTGTTACTTTTAGCCTCATTCATATTTAGAAGTAGACTGTCTATACAGCATAATTAATGATACAGAGTTCTGGGGCTGGGGATTTAGCTCAGCGGCACAGCGCCTGCCTGACAAGCACAGGGTCGTGAGTTCGATTCCCAATACCTGAAAAAAACAAAAAAAGAGATACAGAGTTTTGCCCCTTATTCATAGGAATTTTTGTAACTACTTAGCGTTCCTGACTGCTTTTTTTATTCAAATTTAAATTTCCACTCTGAAAAGCCATGACTTTGTTTTTAACGTCCGCTTAACCCCATCAGCTGTTTTTGGACTATACCATTAAATGCTACGAGAGCTTCATGACTGGCGCTGACACCTTTGAAGAGATGAATGCAGAGTTGCAGTCCAAGCTGAGTGAGTGTTCTCCTTCCCAGAGTATGCGCATTCAGTTGTTTAAATCTGAGCATGGGCTGGCAGTGTCTATAGCTAAGGGTTATGTGACCTCCTTACTTGAAATGCACACAGATGCCTACAGATTCTTATCCCTGTAGTTTCTCTGGTGGGGAAAAGTAATGGCGAAGCAGAAAGAACACTGGTGTTGGGGGCCAGACCTGAGACAGAAGCCCCTACTGGCCGTGTAAGCTTAACAAATTACTTGACCTCTCTGACAAATGCATACATTTCTACATACATACATCTACTTTGCCAGAGTAGATGAAATGCCAAATACGCTACTAGGAGCACAGAAGATAATTAGCGAATGTTATTTCTCTTGAGGGATAGTCCTTGCTGTACTATTTTAGAAATTAAAGCACCAATTAGCCAAAAGGCCTCAGTCTCTTAAAACCTGTCAGACAGTTAACGGGCCATTGTATTTCCAAATTAAAAAATCACTTTTTCACTCTAGTGACATTCACAATTAACTGACTCACACTTAAACAATTCAGGGTATTATTTTATATTGTTCTTTGTATTGAAATTGCCTTGTAAGTAAAGGTCAGAAAGGTAGATAAAACGGATGGAGATGTCCAAAGCTGTTCCTCTAAAGACAATGGAGTTGATCAAAACAGGAGACTCGTCTTGCCCCTTGAGGTACAAAGAGCAAAAAAGCATTCCCTTGTATTCCCCTGGGAGTGTACCTTCCTGAAGCGTGACCTGGACATTCTCAATCTGTCCACCTGGGAAAGAACAAGATAAATGATGCTTTGTTTTCAGAGAAGAAAATTCCTAGTAACCTAATACAGAAAAATGCTAGTGAGTTACCTGATATTTCTGTATATAATTAAGCATGTAAATGTATGTATTCATTCACATAAATTTTTATTCCATCTCTACTGCATGCTAGTAAGAATGTAACACTAAGGATACAATAATAAGAGTGAAAATACTCATCCAATGGGCTTGCACTCTAATACCCAAAACGGAGCGATAACGAAATGAATAACTCTAAGTCCAATGGTGAAAAGTGCTGTGGAGTAACCAGCAGGGAAAGGGGAATAGAAATCACAGCGGAGTAAAGGAAAGGGTTTGCGATTTTACAAAGAGCAGCTTTTTCTTCACTGGTGGTGTTTAGAGCAGAAGCGGGAAGGCAGACGGGCAAGCAGCGGTGCAACCTGGGGGAGGAGGCCACATGCAGATTCTTACGAACTTTTGGGGTTTTGTCTCCAGAGGATTTATATAATGTCGATGCTGCCAAGCTGGAATCATTAGCCGCAAAAAACAAAGCACTGAATGAGCAGATCGCAAGACTGGAGCAGGAAAGAGAAAAAGAACCGGTTAGTAAATGTGTTTGTGCACTGTCTCATTGGCTCTCTTGGCCTTGAATCTTCTTGGAGAACTCCAGCTGTATCAGAATTTTTAAAAAGAGGTTCACAAATTAAGCTTCTTAAAAGTTGGACTTTTAAATGGGGTGGAACTCCCAAGGAAAACATGTTTTGTATCTGTGGAGCTTTGGTCTCCCTTGTGTCCATTAGTCTTTGTCTAATGGCTTTTGGAACATGATGAAAGATTCCTACCTACTTACATGAGACAAGTGTCATTCCAGCCAGCTCCTGAAGTGTGCACCTCCGAGGAGCACAGTTCTCAAGAGGCCGAGTTCTGTAATGAAGAGTACTAATAAGTGGACTTACAGAATATATTGAGACAAGTATTCTCTAAAATCTACTACCAGTATCTTAGTTTTATTTTGTATGCTATTAGGTTAGCACCCAGACTATTTGGCAAAAATCAAATTCTAAATGTTTAGGTTTTCCCCGACTCTGGCCCTTGATTGTTTTACTGACTTCTTGAAAAGTCTGTCTCCTTACATACCTAATAACAACATACTCCTCTTTTAGTTTGTTCAATGCTTAAAAATAAAAAGGACATGCTAATTTACCGTTCCCTAAGATAAATTTAAACAGTACTGCTTTCCTTTAAAATAAAGAATGATGTGGAACTAATTTAATATTCTTATCTCTTAAAGAATCGTCTAGAGTCTTTGAGGAAACTGAAAACCTCCCTACAAGCAGATGTTCAAAAGTATCAATCATACATGAGCAATTTGGAGTCTCATTCAGCTATTCTTGACCAGAAACTGAGTGGTCTTGATGAAGAAATTTCTAGAGTAGGTAAGACCAGCTCGTGCTAGAAGAGGTCCTTCAGATGGGCACGTGGACCTCTGGGTTTGTCTCATATAAGGATCGCTGTGCTAGCCATATCTTTTTTTCCACCTCTGCTAAATTTTTATAGCTGATTACCAAGTGTTCAGTGGCTTCTGTGTTAGAGGCTACTGTAACAAATTACTACAGGCTTGGGGCTCAGACAGTAGAATTCTATTGCCTCACAGCTGTAGGTGCTGTAAGTCCAAGACCCAGCCAGTCCACACTCCCTCTTCCAGCATCTGGTGGCTGACAGGACCCAGGCCTGTGTTCAGATGGAGACTGGGCCTTCTTTACTTTGCCTTGTGTGTATGTGTGTCTTCTTTCTATCTGTGAGAAATCTCCCGTCTGTATCTTACAGGGATTCTCACGATGACGTTTAGGGTCCACCTGGATAATCCCAGGGTTAGCTTCTCATCAGCTTTCTTAATCACATCTCCCAAGACCCTTCTCCCGAATGAGGCAATGTTTGCAAGCTCAGAAATCAGGACTTCATATATCTGGGTGGCCAGTAGTCAAGCTACTCTACCTTCTAGCGTGATTTCCAGCACATGGCTTCTTGAAGCCAACAGGGCTGTATCCTAAGAACCTATGCTACCCAGATGTGAATGTAAATATAAATTATATATTCCAGGGCTGCGCGTGTAGGTCAGTGGTAGAGTGCTTGCCTAGCGTGCGTGAGGCCCTGGATTTGATTTTCAGCACTATAAATTAATTAATTAGTCTAATCAAAGTAATAAAAATTACATGTGTATCCTGTATGCTCTGTTCTACTTTGTAGTAAAAAGGAGATTCTTAATCTCTGCCTGACTCCGTCTGCTTTAACTATCTCATCCTCCATCACTACCTTCTAGGCAGCCGAAACTGGGTGAAAATAAGATGAAAGCTGCAAGTACTACACTTCTAGGAAAGCAAAAGCACAACTCAAGAAAGCTTGTTTATCTCCTGTACCTTCCTTGCCTTGCTTTCATAAACATACATCACTCTTAATAGTAAAATTCTGCAAAATACCATGGCACAGCGTTGCTCGGCAATCTCTGGTGCCGGAAGTAGAACAGAAGAGGTTGTCTATAAATCACAGAACCATGGGGCTGCAGTTTGAAAATAAACAGATGGCCAGATGTGGTGGTGCACACTTGTAATCCTAGCTACTCGAGAGGCAAGGATCACAAGATAGCCCATGGGCAGAGTGCTTGCCTAGTGTGTGGAAGGCCCTGTATTCCATCCCTAGTAACAAAAGAATAAGTGAACAGACAGCTATACTGTTGTTCTAGTACTTTGCTCCTTGTGTGTTTTTTTTGGTTTGGGGGGGATTTTTTGTCTTTGAGACAGGGTCTTGCTATGCAGTTCAGGCTGGCCTTGAGCTCACTTTGTAGTCCAGGCTGGTCTTGAACTTGCAAATAAATATCCTCCTGCCTCAGCCTCCTGAGTGCTGGGATTACAGGCATGTACTACTATGCCCAACCTTGTGTTTTAACTATTAAGATTTTGTATGTATCTGTCCCATATAGAAGTTGTATAGATTATCTTTAGACTATTTATTTAATTATAGTCTGTAGCATGCTGCTCATCTGTCAGATAAAGCCTTGTAATTTCCCATAGTACAATATTTGCTAAAGGCACTTATTATTTTTTTACAGATGACTCTGATTATGAACAGACTCTTTAAATATTTTACATCTGCCCCCTGGTCAGTGTCCTGTGTTGGTCAAGGAGCCATGAACTAATTTCTTACTCTAACAACGTTTGTTATATATATATATAATTTTTTTTTTTTTTTTGCTTTTTGAGACAGGGTCTCGCTGTGCAGCTCAGGCTAGCCTCGAGCTCACTTTGTAGCCCAGGCTGGTCTTGAACTCACAACGATACTCCTGCCTCAGCCTCCTGAGTCCTGGGATTACAGGCATGCACCACCACGTTCGGCATGTAATATAATTAAATCAGTGCTTTCTGATATCCTTGTCAGCATTTAATCAAGAAAATTATCATACTTTCTAATTACTCTTGTGAGAATTTTTTTTCCAGTAGTAGTTGCAAACTGAATAGAGAAAGTAACATTTAGGCTATCATTTGTCATTCCCAAGTGACTTAGTTTGGGAGGACTAATTTTATATGGTTAATTTAAGATGTTTTAGTTCTATGAATATTTTAACTTCATTGTTTAAAGCTATTTCTGGACAAGAGTGAATAAGATATAATTAAATTCCATAGATGTGTGTCCTGGATTTTTTTGTTCAGATACTTGTAATGAATGCATAAAATTTTACTTAAACCAAGCATTAATTTATTTTAAGCTCAGATATGAATCGATGATTATACCAAAGCCAAAATATTGGTCCTCGTAGCACTCAGGATGATTCCCTTTGCCCTGTCAGCCATCCCCATCCATTTAGCCCAGTCTACTATAAAAAATGCTTTCATAGCCCAGTGTGGTGGTGCACGCCTGTAATCCCAGCACTTTGGAGGCTGAGGCAGGAGGATCGTTGCGAGTTCAAGACCAGCCTGGACTACAAAGTGAGCTCAAGGCCAGCCTGGACTGCGTAGCGAGACCCTGTCTCAAAAAGACCAAAAAAAAAAAAAACTTGTATGAAAGCCCATGAGTCGCAGAAGGTTGGAAAATATACTTGATAAGTAGACAAAGCAGAACCTAACCAATGTACATAAAACAGAAGCAAAAAAACCATTTCATAGAAGTGATTTTATGTTTGTGAATTATTCAAAGAGCTGTGCAAGAAGGAGTCCTAAAAGCATTTAAATGAAGCCTAACAGATAGACACCCTTTATGAGATTCTTACATACTACTTCCTGAAGAGCACAGTAAGCCAACAGGAAAATAAAGTGCTGACATAAAACTTTAATTATATTATCTAAAGAGTGTTATTAGCAAAATAGGATGAACCAGAATTATCCAGAGAAAGAGAAAGCATGAATATGTGTAAAACGTGTATGTGTAGATGTTAGTGCTATTCAATAACAGCATCAAGTTTCTCTGGAGAAGTTGAAAAAACTAGAACTTTGGTTTTCTCCAATGCAGAAATAGAGTGTGAAACCGTGAAACAGGAGAATGCCCGGCTGCAGAACATTGTTGATAACCAGAAGTACTCGGTCGCTGACATTGAGAGAATAAACCATGAAAAAAATGACTTGCAACAAACCATCAATAAATTAACCAAGGACCTGGAGACTGAACAGCAGCAGTTGTGGAATGAGGAGCTGAAGTACGCACGCGCCAAAGAGGCGGTAGGTCACGCCGTTCTGGGTAGCGCCACGTCAGCGCTGAGCTTTGTGGGCATCTGTCATAGTCAGGACCTCAGCGAGGTAGCACTGACATGGACCGTGACTAAGACACGTTCCTCCCTTATGCTAATGTTCCACAGTCAAGTCTAGGTTCTTTTCGCAGTGAACCAAGAAATACGCAAGAAAGTCTCTAAGCCCTGAAAATGATTTCCATAAGTTCATTTACTGTGTGGAAGAGGAAATGAATCCCTCCTCACATACCTATCACTTCTCAAACATGTATGTAGCGCTCCCTGTGTGCCACTTACATGCCCAGCACAGAAAAAGTAAAGACAGCCAGGCATCATGGTACGAACGTGTAATCCCAGCTGTTCAGACGGGGGAGGGACGCCTGTGAGTTAGGGGTAAATGCAGCCTCAGCGTGGGTGCGCCTGCTGTGTGTCTGCGCGCCACTTACCAGAGGAGACTGCAGCCTCGCTCTCAGCGCTCGACAAGTGAATTCATTTCTCACAGTTGGAGGCTTGTCTGGGACATTCCATGCCTGCATAGATGGGTCCTGGTGGAGAGGGGAATGCCCCGCCCCATTTTTGGGTGGCCCGCTGTGCCTGGATATTCGCTCTTCTGCAGAAGCCGTCGAGCACCTGTTACTCCAAACATAGCAAAGCAGACATGGGGAGATAAAAGAGACAAACCGCAGCAATCCAGTAATCCCATGCACAGGACAAGGGAGGACAGTGAGACTACGGGCCTGCCTTTTTGGTTAGGTGCCAGTGTCTGGAAGAGATAGAGAGGGCGTGACCAAGATGGGTCCCAGACAAGCAACTCTCGGGGGTGTGAAAAGCCCTCATTAAAGGAGAGTTGAGTACAGCTCTCAGGAGGGTGTGGGGAAAACTTCATTAAGGAGGGTTGGATGGGACTTGGGGTCGGGCACGCAGGAAACCGTGAGGCGGATTGAGCGCGCAGCATTACTCAGGCTCGCAGACCTGGAGAGCACGGGAAACTAAGCCTAGGGAATCTGAGCAAGGCGCCCTGGACCGTGTTTGTCCATAGGCTCCCCTCCAGCTGAGTGCCGAGGCCTGCAGTACAATCTTCTGTTCATAACTGGTAATAACCCAGGCATTGTAGACCAAGGACCAGATAAAGTAGCACTCAAGTATGGGAAGTAGGGCAGATGTCACAGCATCAGACCCTTAGGCAGACCTGTCCTTGTGTTGACTTTATCTTGTCTCAACCTAAGCCTACCCCAGCTGACTCCCTGGCTCCCAAAACAGTGATCCTAAAAAGGTAAAAATAGTGAAAATGAGGGACTTGAGACAGACTTTAGGGATTAAGACAAGCTGTAAGGAGATAAATGCCTGGGGCAGATGGGTAAAGATTTCAGTACAGGCTCTTAATAAAAGTGACGGTTACACATGCATAAATGGCAAGTCACGGACACAGGTAGTTCCTCTCCCTAAGACTGGCTGCTAACCCTGACAGAATGTGTTGCATGGTGGCCTTATATCCGGACAAGAATGCTTGGGAAAATGAGACTTGTATGAGTCTGTCACTGCTGTTACCTGGGGGGAGAAACATGGACCTGAGGGAGGTCCCTCCCTTCTCTGTGGGAAATGTGAGTTAGTCCTCTTCCTCTATAGGCAGGGAGAACGATTTACCAAACCTGTGGGAGACGTGAGTCCCTCCACCCGCGTCCTAAATGTCGTGACTGGTGGGCTGCACAACTGCCCGATCCTTACCCTTCCTGGTCCAGTCGATG